TATATTTTCTTAAAAAAGAATTTAAAAAGATGATCATATTTAGTTCCTTTCCTCATCAATGCTATTAATCTCATAATTAGTGTTATTTATATTATTTTCTTAATTACTTTTTTTTCTTTCATTTAATTATTTATTTGAAGAAATTAGTTATTATAACTTTATAAGAATTACACATGTATTTTTACATAATTGATTTGTTATTTTTAAAATTTTTGGATCATTCTTCATCTTAAAGTTTCTATCTATATGTAATAATAAAGCTAAAATAGAAAATGTGGGGTGACACCTTCTTAGCAATAGATACTTATTTATTCTGATCAATGTTTCTGACATTTTTTGTTATTTTTTCCTTAAAATAATTGTTGCCTCGATTTTTAGTTTTAGTTTTATTTTTTTAGCATTTTCTAATTTTAAAAGACTGAAAAATTTATATTGAAAATTTACAAAATATAAAAAATGATTTATTTAACTCCTATCATCATCAATATTATTATTAATTTGTTTTACTTCTTTTCTTAATCTTCATTTCATCATTAATGTAATTTATATCATTTTCTTAGATATATATATATATATATTTGTGACATTTCTTAGAAGTTAGGATTACTATTTATTTAATTTTTAAATTTTTGAATTCTTTTGTCATACTAAATACAACATGTTTTATTATAATTACATTTAATATATTAATCAATATGTTGTACGAATGAAAAGAAAATTATCATTTCACAAAAACAAAGGTTAAAATATAATTTATTATGATTAAGGAAAGATAAAATTATTATTCCAATATCCATAACCATATATAATACATTAAAAATTAATTGAAAAGCTGTAAATGGAAAAGGAATCACCATTTAAGGAATCATTATTTTTAAATTTTTGGATCATTTCTTCTTGTAAAAGTTTCTATCCATACGTAACAATAAAGTTAAAATAGAAAATGTAGTGACACCATTCTTACTAATAGATAGTTATTTATTTTTATTAATTTTTTTTGACAATTTTGGTTATATTTTTCTTTAAAATAATTATTGCCTCGATTTTTTTTTAACATTTATTTTAATTTTAAAAGATTGGAAATTTTATGTTAAAAATTTTAATAATAGAAAAAATGATTTATTTAACTTTTATCATCATCAATACTACTAATTTTTTTGACGTTTTTTCTTAATCTTCATCTCATCATTAATGTTATTTATATAATTTTGTTTAATCACTTATTTTTTCTTTTTTAACTCTTTTATATATATAAAGTTGGATATGTAAATGATGATGTGACATTTCTTAGAAGTTAAGATTACTATTTATCTAATTTCTCCAATTTTTGAGTTCTTTTGTCATACTAAATACAATATGTTTTATTATAATTACATTCAATATAGTAAACAACATGTTCTAGGAATTAAAACAAAATTATCATTTCAGAAAAATAAATGTTAAATTATAATTTTATTATGATTAAGGAAAAATAAAGATATTATTTCAATATCCCATAACCACATTCAATACATTAGAAATTAATTGGATATAATTGTAAATGGAAAATGAATACGATTTAAGGAAAATAAATGTTTGTAATACCATAATAATTAAGGAGAGAGTAAGATATTATTTTAATATCCTAATTCGGAACTTTTAATCTACTACTCAATTAAAAATAAAATGCATTTAATAACATGAAAAAGTTATTAGTTTAATATTTTTTCTCATTGTACTAATTCAATTCAATAAAACTTAATTTTAAAGATAAAATAATAGCTTCATTTTAATTGTTGTCAATATATTTCAAAAAATTATCGTGAAAAGGCTTTTCTTGCACCTTATTTTAATTTTCATATACCATTATTATTTTTTCTGTCATTTTTCAATGAATTTTTATTTCGATTTAAAATTTAATGTTTATTCTTAAAACTCTGATGGTACAAATTAAGGTGGAGTAGAATATAATAAATGATGATTCTTCTACTAAATAAGAAGATATAACGAAATTGAAAGGGTGAAGGTTTTTTTTTTTAAATGGATAGGAAATTCTATTAAGGTATCATTACGTCATTATTCAATATATTTTTAATATAAATTTCATTTGTTGATGCATTTGTTTAGTACTCCCTCTGTCCCTAATTACTTGTTTACTTTTCCTTTTATAATTGTCTCTAATTACTTGTCCATTTTGACAAATCAAGAAAGAATATTTTTTTACCTATTATACCCTCAATTAAATGACTAATTACTTTGAAAATTGCAGAACTTTTCATCTACTTCATAATTAATAGGGGTAAAATGATAAACTCACTATGTCATTAATTGATTTCTTAATAAATGTGTAAATTTAAAAGTGGACAAGTAATTAGGGACAGAGGGAGTACTACAGTGTTATTTGACATTATGAGATATTTCTTAGACATTTAAGGAGAATGGTAGACCGAAACATATATTATATATTAAAGGATGAACTTCATGCAATGGAAGAATTTGTTATTAGCAAATATATTTTAACTTATTTGATAAAAAATATATTCTTCCTCATTTAATAGATGCAAAATTTGTGAAGCTTTATTTTTTTTCACAATCTTCATATTATTAAGACAAATATTAATATTACGATTAAACAACAAATTAAATATAAAATTCATCAAAAATATTTAATTTAAATGATCACGCGAAGTGCGGCCAAGTTCTCTAATTTAAAACAAAAAAGTAAAATTTAAATGGGTCTACTATAGAATTCCTAGAAATCCAACTTGAAAAATTATGTTAAAAATGGAAAATAAAAAGTGAAATAAATTTAATTGAGAGTTATCCTTCGTCTGTCCCATTTTATGTGAGACTTTTTATTTCTCGAGAATCAAATAGTTTAAATTTAACCATAAATTTGCGTATGATATCTTCATTTTTTTTTTTAAATTTGGAGAAATTAGATAAATAGTAATCTTATCTTCTAAGAAATGTGACATCATCATTTACATATCCAACTTTTATATATATAAAAGAGTTAAAAAAGAAAAAATAAGTGATTTAAGAAAATTATATAAATAACATTAATGATGAGATGAAGATTAAGAAAAAACGTCAAATAAATTAGTAGTATTGATGATGATAAAAGTTAAATAAATCATTTTTTCTATTATTTAAATTTTTAACATAAAATTTCCAATGTTTTAAAATTAAAAATAAATGTTAAAAATTAAAATAAAAATGGAGGCAATAATTATTTTATTAAAGAAAAATATGTGTAGAAAAAGTAGAAGTAGATGAAGTTACTTTAGTTGATATTTTTGGTGGGCCTCAATGTACAATTTCTATAGCTTTTAGTCCAACTCTTTAGTGCAATGTTGGTCCTCCAAACTCCCATTTCTAAATAAGAGTAAAATAAAATATAAAAGAGCTAAAAAAGAAAAAATAAGTGATTTAAGAAAATTATATAAATAACATTAATGATGAGATGAAGATTAAGAAAAAACGTCAAATAAATTAGTAGTATTGATGATGATAAAAGTTAAATAAATCTTTTTTTCTATTATTTAAATTTTTAACATAAAATTTCCAATCTTTTAAAATAAAAAATAAATGTTAAAAATAAAAATAAAAATCGAGGCAATAATTATTTTAAAGGAAAATATAACCAAAATTGTCAGAAATTTAATTCTTCATGTGGGTTGTTGTATATGTTGAAAGGCACGTGTACAATTAATGAGGCACAATTAATTTTATAGTACAATTTGAAATGTTTTGTGTACAACATGGTAGTGCCGTGTTCGTGCTTTAAAGTGTCAACTCTAATAAGGAGCCAAATGAGTAATAATAATAATTCTAATAAGGAGTAATGAGTAATAATAATAATTGCAATGTTAGTCCTTCTAGGTAATGAATAATAATAATAATTGCAATGTTAGTCCTTGGTGTTAGTCCTTCTATTAATGTACAATTCTTTTTGCACGTTGTACAACTAATTAATGCAGTCAAAAGTTAATGTACAAAATTGTATGCATGTTGTACAAGAGTATTAATGCAGTGTTGGTCCTTTCCTTTTTGGTGGGCCTCAATGTACAATTTCTATAGCTTTTAGTCCAACTCTTTAGTGCAATGTGGTCCTCCAAACTCCCATTTCTAAATAAGAGTAAAATAAAATATAAAAGAGTTAAAAAAGAAAAAATAAGTGATTTAAGAAAATTATATAAATAACATTAATGATGAGATGAAGATTAAGAAAAAACGTCAAATAAATTAGTAGTATTGATGATGATAAAAGTTAAATAAATCCTTTTTTCTATTATTTAAATTTTTAACATAAAATTTCCAATCTTTTAAAATAAAAAATAAATGTTAAAAATAAAAATAAAAATCGAGGCAATAATTATTTTAAAGAAAAATATAACCAAAATTGTCAGAAAATTAATTCTTCATGTGGGTTGTTGTATATGTAGAAAGGCACGTGTACAATTAATGAGGCACAATTAATTTTATAGTACAATTTGAAATGCTTTGTGTACAACATGGTAGTGCGTGTTCGTGCTTTAAAGTGTCAACTATAATAAGGAGTCAAATGAGTAATAATAATAATTCTAATAAGTAGTAATGAGTAATAATAATAATTGCAATGTTAGTCCTTCTAGGTAATGAGTAATAATAATAATTGCAATGTTAGTCCTTGGTGTTAGTCCTTCTATTAATGTACATTTCTTTTTGCACGTTGTACAACTAATTAATGCAGTCAAAAGTTAATGTACAAAATTGTATGCATGTTGTACAAGAGTATTAATGCAGTGTTGGTCCTTTCCAACTCTCACTTCTAAATAAGGATAATATATATTGCAGAGGAAATAAGATAAAACAAATATTCTAAAGTATTTTAGGCTTTGGATAAACATTTGTGACTTGAAAGTTTTCGCCCATGATAGTCTTGAGTGAGTAAAAGCTTGGGATGTATCTAGTCGCTGCACTGACATCACCGTAAACTTTAACCCGGATGAATCTCTTCGACTCGGGTCTGTATGAAGCTAGGCATCTGAAATTTGTATCAAGATTTCTCCATCTTTCCAAATTAATATTGGGTTTATATTAAACCTATTAAAATCCCGCGGAAGAGAATTCACCATAATGGTATCTTTAGTCCAAGATTCAGCAGCCCCATACTCTCTCATCCACCAGATATCAATATTAGCGGACCATCTGTTTTTATCATCAGTCAAACACATATAATTTCCCACCTCTGCTAGCTTCAAGATCCATGGTGGAGTTCCCAGACCAGGCGGAGCTGGTAGAGACTTGATCTTTTCTGTCTCAATATCAAAGGAGTAAATTTTGTCATTTTCTTCGTGATACATCCAATGAAGAGCACCATTGACAATAACCTGGCCAAATTTATACCTTGTAGGACACGAAATTTCACTCACATTCCTCCATTTCTCACCAACTCCAAGAGTATAAATCTTCAATTCTGATACGTGAATATGCTCTCTAACTACTAATGTCAATACTTTATATTCTCTAGAGACTTCGCTAAAGCAAAATCCATAAGTAACTTGATTAACACTTATCTCCCTTTCAGGCAATTTAACTTCGAAATACTCACCCAAAAGAGGATTACTAATGTAAACTGAATGTTTCTCAATATACATCGAATCATTCAACAAACAAATGAATCCATTACACGAACCAACTAAAGACACTCTCCCTGGAGGGTAGTGAAACTTAGGGATCAACGGAATGGGTCTTGTAGAGCGGCCATAATAATAATGATAACCTTCTTTGAGTTCTAGAAGAGAATGTTCGCCTATACCTTCCGAAAGCAAAATGCAGGGGAATTTAAGGGATGTTTTTTCATACATTGAAACAAATAAAGGGTCTGGATATAAAATATTATACCAAACTTTACAAACACATTTACATCAAAAAATGGACTTGATTGGCAATCGTGAAAGAATATCAATCATAATCACCAATGGAAGATCCATAATCCTCATCCTCGTGACTTGACAGATTATTTTTTCTTTACCCTTAGAGATTTTGATGTCCATGGCTGCACTTACTTTGAACAAAAAGAAAAATTTCCCAAATTTTGAGGGTTTGGGTGGGGTGGACTTTCATATATATAGTGCGCTCCAAATTTTAAATTTTGAATTTTAATTAACAAGGTTCCCATAATTGAACCTTTTTTCTCTTTATGTCTTCTTGAATTATACAATTGGAGGTAATATTTACTTTTTTTCTCTTTATGTCTTCCTGAATTATACTGTTGGAAGTAATATTTACCTTTTTTTTTTTCTCTTTATGTCTTCCTGAATTATACTATTGGAGGTAATATTTACTTTTTTTCTCTTTATGTCTCCCTGAATTATACTGTTGGAGGTAATATTTACCTTTTTTTCTCTTTATGTCTTCCTGAATTAATATTTACCTTTTTTCTCTTTATGTCTTCCTGAATTATACTGTTGGATGTAATAATTACTTTTTTTTTCTCTTTATGTCTTCTTGAATTATATTGTTGGAGGTAATACTTACCTTTTCTCTCTCTATGTCTTCCTGAATTATACTGTTGGAGGTAATACTTACCTTTTCTCACTTTATGTCTTCTTGAATTATACTGTTAAAGGTAATACTTACCCTTTTCTCTTTATGTCTTCCTGAATTATACTATTGGAGGTAAGATTTACCTTTCTTTCTCTTTATGTCTTCCTGAATTATACTGTTGGAGATAATATTTACCTTTTTTCTCTTTATGACTTCTTGAATTATATTGGTGGAGGTAATACTTACCTTTTCTCTCTATATATCTTCCTGAATTATACTATTGGAGGTAATACTTACCTTTTCTCTCTTTATGTCTTCTTGAATTATATTGTTGAAGGTAATACTTACCCTTTTCTCTTTATGTCTTCCTGAATTATACTGTTGGAGGTAATATTTACTTTTTTTCTCTTTATGTCTTGTTGGAGGTAATATTTACCTTTTTTTTCTCTTTATGTCTTCTTGAATTATACTGTTGGAGGTAATATTTACTTTTTTTTTTTTCTCTTTATGTCTTTCTGAATTATACTATTGGAGGTAATATTTATCTTTTTTTCTCTTTATGTCTTCCTGAATTATACTGTTGGAAGTAATATTTACCTTTTTTCTCTTTATGTCTTTCTGAATTATACTGTTGGGGGTAATATTTACTTTTTTTTCTCTTTATGTCTTCCTGAATTATATTGTTGGAGGTAATATTTACTTTTTTTCTCTTTATGTCTTCCTAAATTATACTGTTGGAGGTAATATTTACCTTTTTTCTCTTTATGTCTTCCTAAATTATATTGTTAGGGGTAGTATTTACTTTTTTTCTCTTTATGTCTTCCTGAATTATACTATTGGAGGTAATACTTACCTTTTTTTCTCTTAATGTCTTCCTGAATTATACTATTGGAGGTAATATTTACCTTTTTTCTCTTTATGTCTTCCTATTTTTCAGTCTTTAACAGATAAAATTCCAAAATTCAATATATTGTTGAGATAGACCCTAACAGAAGCAGCGTGTTGATGAGATTCCGTGACTTAAGACAGTGTCAATCTCGAGTAGGCTAGCACCTAATTAAGTTGGCTAGTTTGATAACAAGTTCAGGATCACTGCTGCACTTGACAGCATAGAAAGGTAGAGTAGTGTTTTATTGCTGCTTCTATGCATTTATTGATCTCTTTTATATAGTTATAGAATGCCCATATATGACGAAAATAGCTTACGCTTATGAAGTATAGCTTATGTTACAAAATTGCAGGAAGACATCTTGTGCTCGAGCTCATCCATGTTTTCTCTGTTCTCATTTTGTTCCTTAGTCCGTTCTATTCATACAAGTGCAGAATGAATTGAAACAAAAGGAATATAGCTTTAAAGACTTCACATTGCAAGAAACGTTAAAATGGGACAAGGTATGCTCTGCTTATAGAGGCAGAGTTGTACTATCATAACTCAAAAACATTCATTACACATTAAAAGTTGACAGGTCTATAGCTGAATTACACGAGAAACATAGAGAAAAACATAATATCCAGGAGGAAATAAGACTAATTAAATATCTAAACTATGTCAATCTTCGGAAAAGTGTATGAGACTTGAGAACTTTCTCCAATGACAGTCTTGATTGAGTAAAAACTTGGGATGTAGCTAGTCGCTGCAAGTCCAAGGTACACTTTAACCTTCGTAAACCTCTTTTCTTTTGGGTTGTAAGAAACTACTTGTGTGCCACTATCCCTTTGCATCAATATTTCTCCATCTTTCCAAGTTGAGATTGGTATAAATCTATCCCAACTGATATCAGGTTGAATAGTATCCTTCAAAATGCGAGTTTTACTCCAAGATTCAGCTATTCCATACTCTCTCATCCACCATATATCAACGTAATCACTATCGTTAGGATTACACAAACATAGACAATTCCCCAACTCTACTAGCACCAATTTGTAGGATGGAGTTTTCAGACCACGCGGAGCTAACAGGGACTTCACCTCTTCTGTCCAACTGTTAAAGGAGTAAATGCTGTCATTTTTTCCCGAATTCATCCAATGAACAACACCATTGACGTTAGCCTTACTAAATGTTATGGATAGAGGTTGTGGAGCCTCACCCACATATCTCCATTTTTCATCAACTCCAAGAGTATAAACCTCCAATTCTGATACTTGTGGATGTCTATCAAAATTACTAACTACTGATCTCAATACTTTATACTGCCTAGAGACTTCACTAAAGCAGAATGCATAAGCAACACACTGAATCAGCATCGAGTATTAATAATTTTTCGTCCTCGCTAAACAGACTGATTGTGTTGAGGCCTAAGTTTCACCTCCCTCCATTGGAATCGAGTATTAATAATTGTGGTAAAAAACCAAAAGTGTAAATAATTGGTTCATTTGTTTGTTGAATGTTCAAGATGTAATCCGATCTATGTAGGACACATATGTTCATTAGATGACGAGATGTATCCGTTCGATCTTTGTAGAATGCCATATCTATCATTCACTATAACGTTTCTGAATGGTTTTTTTTTTTTTGCAGATAAGCATTTACTTGTTCATAAAAAGAAGACAAGCAAACTGTTGTTTCTGCAGATGCGTACGAGATGTTAAAACAAAGCCATAAGGCCAACACTTTGTTCCTTAGTTCGTTCTATTCAGACAAGTGCATAGTGAATTGAACAAAAGGAATGCAAATCTGACATATATTAAAAGCATCCATAAAACATTAAAAGTTGGCAGGTCTTAAGCTAGATTACACGAGAAACATAGAAGAAAAACATAATATCCAGGAAGAAATAAGATAAATTAAATATCTAAACTAACTCAATCTTCGGATGAGTGTGTGAGACTTGTAAACTTTCCCCAATGACAGTCTTGAGTGAGTAAAAACTTGGGATGTACCTAGACGCTGCAAATCCAAGGTACACTTTAACCTTCGTAAACTTCTTTTCTTTTGGGTTGTAAGAAACTACTTGTGTGGCACGATCCCTTTGCATCAATATTTCTCCATCTTTCCAAGTTGAGATTGGTATAAATCTATCACAACGGATATTTGGTTGAATAGTATCCTTCAAAATGCGATCTTTAGTCCAAGATTCAGCTATTCCATACTCTTCCATCCACCATATATCAACATACTGACTATGGTTAGTATCACACAAACATAGACAATTCCCCAACTCCACTAGCGTCAAGTCGTAGGATGAAGTTTTCAGACCACGCGGAGCTAACAGGGTCTTCACCTTTTCTGTCCAACTGTTAAACGAGTAAATCCTGTCATTTTTATCCGTATTCATCCAATGAACAACACCATTGACGTTAGCGTTACTAAATGATGATTTGCATAGTGGTTCTGGAGCCTTGCCCACATACTCCATTTTTCATCAACTCCAATAGTATAAACCTCGAATTCTGATACTTGTGGATGTCCTTCAAAAAATTTAAGTACTGATCTCAATACTTTATACTGTCGAGAGGCTCCACTAAAGCAAAATGCATAAGCAACACGGATTCTTTCCTCCCGTTCAGGCATTTTAACCTTGTAATACTCACCCAAAATAGGATTGCTAATGTAAACCAAATGATTAGTTCCAACATGACCATTCAACAAACAAACAAACCCATTACATGAACCAATTAATCGCAAGTTGGGTGAAGGAAGATGAAACATAGGGCTCAACACAATGTTTCTCTTTAGGGGTTGAGAATCATCTGCTTTGAGTTCCACAAGAAAATAGACAGAGTCATTAACAGTAAGCAAAAGGCTTGGAAAATTAGATGATGATCTTTTGTGATACATGTTAAAAAATAATGGTTCTGAAGTTAAAAGATTATACCACAATTTACAAACCATCTTACAACAAAAAATCGACTTGATTGATAATCTCGAAAGAATTTCCGACATAATATCCCTCGAAAGGTCCATAATCGTGGTGACATGAGAGATTCTTTCTTTGCAATGTCTCTTTAAAATCATAGAGCTTCCGGGGTCCATGACTGTCACTTTCTTTGAACAAATCGAGGTTCGACTAATCCTAATCCCCCAAGCTAAAACAGAGAGAATTTTCTCAAAGAAAATAAAAGTGTACCATGCTTTCAAAATCCCCAAGTACATCCCTATAATCGATCCCAATCCTAAAAGCACAATATTTTCCTTTTCAAAATCTGTTAGGAATACCTATTTTATTTATTAAAACAATATAATACGATACAATATAAAGCAATTATTATTAAGTGAGTACCGTGTGTTTGAGGAATTAGATTTTGATTAGGAGACTTATACGCCTTATTATAAGGGCTATTAATTATTATTCCTTATTTAATACTCCCTCCGTCCCTATTTAGTTGTCCATATTTCCTTTTTTAGTTGTCCCTATTTAGTTGTCCATTTTGACAAATCAAGAAAGGACAACAAATTTTTTCCTATTATACCCTTATTTACACTTCTTGAAAATTGTAAAAGTGTATGTTGTTTCCCTCCAATTTATTTCACTTGAATTCAAAGAAGTGGTTGTAATTTTGAAGTGAAAGATTGTCATAAGGGTAAAATTGTAACTTCACTGTGCTTGCCATTGTTGCCTTAATCTGTGTGTCATTTCTAAAGTGGACAACTAAAAAGGGACAGAGGGAGTAGTACTAATTATATCTTATTTGTTTTCAGGATTAACATATCAATGGTGAAATTTTTTTCAAAATTAATTTAATATTTTCCTTGTCTTGTTTTGACATACACAAAGTAATCGTGGTGCATCGTTTCATAGATGACATGGTATTCAAAATACTAATATAGGTTCCAACTAAGTCTCTCATTCGACTCAAGTGTGTTTCTAAATACGACATGATCTATCCTTGTAATTATTTCAACCATAGCTTTAGTCCAAGATTCAGCAATCCCATACTCTTTCATACATATAATCAGTCAAACACAGACAATTCCTCAACACTTTCCTTCAATCCCATTGGGGCGATTTAATTTTGAAATATTCACCGAAAAGAGGATTGTTAATGTAAAGTACTAAATTACCATTCAACAAACAAATGAACCCGTTATGTGAACCAATTACATATATACATTGTCGATTCCACCGGAGGGAGGTGCAAATTAGGCCTCAACTCAATGATTCTGTTACTGGGGCAAGAATAATAATGCTTTGAGTTCTAGAAGCCAAGGGTTGGAATAACCATCCAAAACCATAATGTAGGAAAAATGAGATGATCTTGTATCATACACCGTAACAAATAAAGGGTCGGAAGTTAAAAGATTATACCAGAGTTTGCAAACAGTCTTGTTGGGAAAATGCGGACAAGCACAAAAATATTTATGGTAAAAGTAATGGAAATAAGAAGGGAAAATAATGGCACCAAGAATTTTACGTGGAAACCCTTCTAAATAAGGGAAAAACCACAGACCAAGAGGAGCAACTGATATTACTATAGTAAGGAATTTTACACTGTAGTCACGAATACAATACTCAAAGTGACTACTACACACTCAAAAGGAATAACACTCTTTTGATTTTCACCTTACTAAAATATCGGTCACACTCTATTTTTCTTCACATACTACTTTTCTTGTATAGTCTATGGAATACCTCACTTTGATCTCAAAATGGTGTTTTCTCTCTAACTTGGTGTGTTTCACAAATGAGCAAAAGACTCTCTATTTATAGGAGAAATCTACTCCTAATTATGTCACCAATGACATCATAAAAATACCAAAGTTTCAAACTTTGCAACTATGTAGTTATCTTGATAAGAATTAGTTGGTATGTAGTTGTACCAACTTAAGACTTTAACAAAAATGGGGGCTAGAACCCCGCAAATCTCCCCCTCCAGTCCCATTCACTGGAAGGAGGTATCTTCATTTTCTTTAGAGAGAGCTCATACCCCCAAGTTCTTTGCATAACTCGAACTTGTCTTTCGGTATCATCTTGGTCAGCATATCTACAGGATTTTCACTTGTGTGGATCTTTTTGACGTGAAATGATTCACTCTCCACTTCCTCACGAATCCAATGATATCTGACGTCGATGTATTTTGTTCTTGCATGGTACATGGAGTTCTTGCTCAAGTCTATTGCACTCTGGTTGTCACAATAGACAATATACTTTATCTGATGCAAACCAAGCTCTTGAAGAAATCGCTTGAGCCATATTATCTCCTTGCCGGCTTCAGTAGCCGCAATATACTCAGCTTCAGTTGTAGATAGTGCAACACACTTCTGCAACTTCGATTGCCATGATATAGCTCCCCCTCAAAAAGTAAACAAATATCCAGTAGTGGATTTTCTGTTATCAAGGTCACCTGCCATATCAGCATCTGTATAGCCCTTCAAGGTTGGATCTGATGCTCCAAAACACAAGCATTCATCTGAGCTCCCTCTAAGATACCTGAGTATCCACTTCATAGCTTCCCAATGCTCTTTTCCCGGATTGTCGAGAAATCTGCTAACAACACCAACTGCGTGAGAAATATCAGGTCTAGTACATACCATTGCATACATTAGACTTCTGACGACGGAGGAATATGGAACTTTGGCCATGCTTTCTTTTTCCTCCCTAACTGTAGGACACATTTTCTTGCTCAACTTCATATGATCAGCAAGAGGTGTACTAACAGGCTTAACATTTTTCATATTGAAGCGCTCTAGTACACGTTCAATGTACTTCTTCTATGACAAATAAATCTGCCTTTCATCTCTGAGACGAGTAATTATCATGCCCAAAATTTGCTTGGCATGACCCAAGTCTTTCATAGCAAAAGACTTACACAACTCTTTCTTCAACTCGTCAATCTTGGAAGTATTCTTGCCTACAATCAACATATCATCCACATACAACAAGAGGATGATAAAATCATTGTCAGAAATTTTTTGTACAAATACACAATGATCTGAAGAAGTCTTCTTATACCCTTGCTCCTCCATAACAGATTCAAACTTTTTGTACCACTGTCTAGGAGCTTACTTTAAGCCATAAAGACTCTTTTTGAGTTTGCACACAAAATTTTCTTTACCTTCTACTTTGAAGCCCTCAGGTTGTTCCATATAAATTTCTTCTCTTAGGTCACCGTGAAGGAAAGTCGTCTTCACATCCATCTGCTTAATCTCTAAATTTAGACTAGCAGCCAAACCCAGAACAGTACGAATCGAGGACATTTTCACAAGAGGAGAAAATATCTCGTCAAAGTCAATACCATTCCTTTGACCAAATCCCTTAACAACCAATCTAGCTTTGTACCTTGGCTTCAAGTTGTGTTCTTCAACT